TCGGGTGAGCTCGTCTGCATCGCTACGGAGGAGTCGTTCTTCATTCTGAAATACCTCTCAGAAAAAGTTGCAGCAGCCCAAGAAACACACGAAGGTGTCACTGAAGATGGAATTGAAGATGCTTTTGAGGTACTTCTATTTAAAAAAAACAGAATAAGATTAGAGATCACGGAAGCAAGTCTTGCGAGGGTAGAGCAAATCTAGTCCTGTTAAATGTTAGGTTCCAGAATGCTGGAACATTTGCCTGAGGAATGCTGTTAATCTTTTTATTTGGGTTCCTTGGGGAGATTGTCCCTGTTCTCATTCCAGCATCCATGGACCTTGATGCCTGCATTTCTCTTCAGACACCCCTTTGCTGTTCTTACAAAGTTACAGAGGTTATTATTAAAACCCACTTTGGGGTAGTATGTTTTCATAGATTAAACTACTGCAATTTTCAAGTTTTGAAATATCATTGGAGTTTGAGAAGTGGAAAAAAAACCTCATGCTGTGAAATGTCAGAAACAAAAATTGCGTAAGGAAGCTTTCGTGCTCGTTTTCTAGATCTGTAATGTGTTTAGTTAAGAATTTAAGGTCGAGATTTCATGTTACAGCGTTTTTGTAAAACGAAAAACATTTTTTATGTACTTCCAATCTGTATCTAAACGTGTTTTCGCAACTTGCCCAATGCAGTAGTTTTACTGCTATCTAAAAGTTCCTTTTTTGTGACATCTGCTTAATATTAATTTCCAGGTTCTCGGCGAGATTCAGGAGATCGTAAAAACAGGTTTGTGGGTAGGAGACTGCTTCATTTACACCAGTTCTGTGAACAGACTCAACTACTACGTTGGAGGAGAAATCGTCACTATTGCTCATCTAGACAGGTAAGTTGCTGCTTCAGGTTAGAAGCGAGTGTTAAAGATTCTTTCAGCAAAGTTAAGACCTTGTCACCTGCTTGCCACACTTTACTACTTTTTCTTAGTAATGTATTTTCTGAGGCAGAAATGTAGTCTTGGAGGGGAATAAACTGTGTTATGTGAAAGTGTATGTATATTAAAAGTAGAGTTTTTCATGTGAGTATTCTTGCCACAGTAAGAACTATTGGATTTTTTAATTTATTTTTTAAATGGACTATTTGGTAGTGTATCTATTAAAGGTGAATATTCTTTGGTTTGTTTTAGAACAATGTATCTTTTGGGGTATATCCCTAAGGACAACCGACTTTATTTGGGCGATAAGGAGCTAAACATTGTTAGCTACTCGTTGCTGGTCTCGGTGCTTGAATACCAAACTGCTGTGATGAGAAGAGATTTCAGTATGGCTGACAAAGTTCTTCCCACAATTCCTAAAGAGCAGAGGACCAGAGTTGCACATTTTCTTGAAAAACAGGCAAGAAAACTACTTTTTAGTTATCAAAAACTTAATAAATTATTTCTAATTGAGTGGGCGAAACAAAGCTCAGTCACGTTACCTGTAAGCATAAACTCTTGTTAATTGTGCGTGTTGATTTGTGAATGCTGTAACCTTCTACTTAGAGGGTTTTTATTAGAAGATCTAGGATGCTGTTTGACTCGATGGGTCACAGCCTTACTTTCGGATTTTTATTTTAGGGCTTCAAACAACAAGCTCTTGCAGTATCTACGGATCCAGAGCATCGTTTTGAACTTGCTCTTCAACTCGGAGAATTAAAAATAGCGTATCAGCTTGCAGTGGAAGCCGAGGTGAGCATACATGTTTTGGTGATTCATACGAATTTGAAGTGCTGGCACGAATCTGAGGGGCCTGGTAAAAAAAGACATTCATATGTAAGGATTCAGTACAGCCCCCTCGACACCGGATAAGTGCCTCCAGCATGCTTGATGAAGTTGTTCTGTCTGTAATTCCAAGGAATTGTAAGCTGTGGGACGGGGACCTCAGAATGTTGCCTGCTTGGAAAGCTAAGTGAACTCCTGGAGAATGTAAGACTTGAACCCGGAACCAAGCCTTAATCTCCAGTATTTAACAGTAAGAGGAGTGACAGGACTGAAGCCTCCAGGCCTTTTTTCCAGCCTTGGCAAGCTCAGACAGCTGTGCCTGGAGGACAGACAGGCAGTGATTTGTCCTGTAGCCTTTACTCGGAGAATCAAGCTCAGATCCTGTTGTAAAATAATGAAATTAGCGATGAGGAATGTTCACTTAGTTACAGACACAGATGCCTTTCTTACATTCTGAAGGTTAACTTTAGAGATTGTTGCTGTTTAAATTTCCAAAGTTTATTTCTACTTCCTCGCTCAATGTCTAAAGAAGAGCCGTTTGGTCTGTGTAGCGGTGTGGCAACAGTCAGGGTGTCCCACTGTGAAGCTGCAGTAACCATAGTGCCTCAAAGGGAAGGGGGGTGCAGAGCTGGGAGACAGACCCTTCACAAGTAAACTTACACTTCATATCGAATGCTCTGAAATCATTAAATGCTGTTCCAAAAGGTGAGGGTTATTTTTTTGTTTCTTTTTCTTTCCCGCCCTCTCCCCTTTTTTGCACCGTTAGTCAGAACAGAAATGGAAGCAACTTGCTGAGCTCGCCATTAGTAAATGCCAGTTTGGCTTAGCCCAGGAGTGTCTGCACCACGCGCAAGACTACGGAGGATTGCTGCTCCTGGCTACGGCCTCGGGAAATGCCAACATGGTGAATAAGTTAGCCGAAGGAGCAGAAAAAGATGGCAAGAACAATGTTGCATTCATGAGCTACTTCCTGCAGGGAAAGTAAGTATTGAGCAACAGTTTCAGATTTCTGTTCTGCTTGCCCAAGTGCCAAGAACCTCAGGTTCTTCAGCCTGTTGACTACAGCTAGCTTAAAACTTCATGGAGAAAGATTGTGGCAGGTACCTTTTCAGAAAAGCTAATTCTGTTTTATGAGGGCTGCTACTTTTAAAATCTGAAATGAACGTACTTTAAATTTATGTAATAGGATAAACAGCTAATCTAATACAAAAATTCATCTTTATTAAATCTACTGGTTAAAAATCACATTTTAATTTTTTTTTAGGCTCGATTCGTGTTTGGAACTCCTGATTAAAACCGGGCGTCTCCCAGAAGCTGCTTTTCTTGCACGGACCTATTTGCCAAGCCAAGTCTCAAGGTAACCTCAGAGCACACGCAGAGCGTGAATAACGGTGTCAGAAACACCCGTGCGTAACAAATCCCATTTGCATCCTCAGGGTTGTTAAACTGTGGCGAGAGAATCTCTCCAAAGTCAATCAAAAAGCTGCTGAGTCCCTTGCTGATCCTACAGAATATGAAAACCTTTTCCCCGGATTGAAGGAAGCTTTTGTTGCTGAAGAATACGTCAAACAAAGTCTTGCTGACTTGCGGCTGGCCAGGGAGTACCCCCTTGTCACTGTAAGTAAGAAGTGGGAGTTCTCAGTGTCTCCACAAGAAAAACATTCAGTGCACAACCTTTTTAAACATTCCCTGAACAACGTGTGTTTTTCACTTTTAGCCAAATGAAGAAAGAAACTTACTTGAAGAAGCAAAAGGCTTTGAGCCTTCTGGAGTTGTGGCATCTCAGGTCAGTGTTACTACTAAATGATGAACTCTCAGAGGCAGTGTTGCTGTTGTATGGGAACATCCACGGTGGAGAACGTTTCACCGATAAAGCACAAATTATTGCTCTTACCGGCCTGTAAGCAGTGCAGCTGAGTTGGGGTTTTTTGCCTCGGACTCTTCTGTAACTACTTAATCACTTGCAATTGTTCAAAGAATTGAAATTCAAAAGAACTTAAGGAATCTCTTTCTCATTAGAAGGCAGCGGAAGAACCAGTTCCATCTCCGGAACAAGAAGTGATGAAGACAGTCTTGCAGAATTCTGATCTACTTCCAACAAGAGATCAAAAGGTACTGAAATACATTCTTTACAAAAGGAAGTACAAGCACTAAATTAGTTTTGTGTGAAAGACTTCAACGAATACTATGATCAAGCTCCTGGAAAATGGCACTTCCTATATTAATAGGAATTAATATAGACCGGTAGGGTGCGGGTCCCTTCCTGTTGTACGCAGAGATACAGATGCCTTCCTGCAGCCTCTTGGCTTTACAAGGAACGAAGGGTGAGGTTCAAACACAGTTGCTCGGGACACAGTAAAAAGTTGCAACTCTGAGATATTTCCTTACCAAGAAGGCAGTTTCTCCCTACAGGTTTTTTCTCTTGCATCTTTCTACCTCAGCTTGGTGCTTTAGAGAAGAGACGTCACGCAGGATGGTACTTCTTATGAGCTGGCTGATGCGTAACTGTCCAAGTATCCCCTTAATCCAGTCTTGTCTTTCCCCAGACACTGCTGGACTTGGAAGATGACTTGGATAATTTGGATCTGGAGGATATTGACACCACAGATATCAACCTCGATGAAGAGATCTTAGATGAGTGAACATGCTCCTCCGATGACCACATCGATCGCTCCAGACAAAGGAATGAAGTTCTGTGGACTTACGTGCCCCAAGTTAATTTGATTTTTATACTGCAAGTGGACCATGTACGTGTAGAAAGAAGGGTAGACCCAGCAACTGTACAAAAAGAATCAGCTTCCAGTATGTGCATACTAAAAAATGCTTTATCAAATTATTCAATAAACCCTTTAAAAAAATTCTGGTTTTCAGGTCTCCACTTACTAGTAATTTTGCTATTCTTCACTCAGCTTCAGTAGTGTGTATTGCAAATGTTTGAAACAGGAGCATGGTAGCCAAGCTTTAGTATTTTAACCTGACTTTTCTTTGCATAAATGGATGGGGTTGCTTTCTCTCTGTGCTATTTAGCCTGGATCTGTTAGAAAGCGGTAGCTCAGGTACCCTTCAGCAAGTAAAATAAGTTGAGGGCAAGCCTGTAGCTTCAAGATGCAACAGTAAAGGAACTGAAGTTGGAGTGTATTGTCACCACCAGGGCAAAAGTCAGGAAGACTCCTCTAAGTTCACTTACTGAGGTTGTGAAAATAAGCTGGTGTAGAGATTCTTAAATAATTTAATAAAAATAAATTTCCTAGAAGAGTCAGTTGTAGAAAGTATTTATTGCAGACTCCTGTACAGAGAACACTTATAAACAGACTTAAAACAGAGGCTGACCTAAGGTTTATTTCATGATGCTGTAGAAGTAGCCATTGCCTCTTCGTAAGCCTGGAGGGCGAGTTGTACGTAGCCTTCCTTCTGAGATTCAGTTCTCACGAAAACCTGCAAATGGGGTGGGAGACAGATTAATGCACAATTACGAGCAGAGCTGCAAAATGAGATTTCATCATTCCAGTGGCGGATCAGCCAGCTACACCTGAAATCCTAGTGCAGCTCTATATAATTTAAAATAATAAAAATAACCTGAACAAAGCCCAACACAACAACCCCAGGGCATGCACAACCGTTGAATGTCTGCTGCTTAAAGTAAGGAAAAATTTAGACTTAAACAGGCTTCTACTGTTTAAAATGTCTTCTCTGCTGGAGTTAAGTAGCCTTAAAGTAGAAAAGCATACCTTGATCAGATCAATTCCCTGAAGATTCCCTTCTTTAGCTGCTTTTGCTGATTGACATTCAGGATGAAGCATGTGATACAGTGTAATTAAACTTGCAGCATCATCCAGCCTAAACAAAAGCACGTTTGTAGCAATTACTTTCTCTTAATATTTGAAGTGTACTTTGTGGTGTGCAAAGGCTCTCATACCAAGTGTGTAATCCTTAAAATCTGTGGCTAGAAGGAAGACCAGAAGCTGCAATCTCTGTAAAAGACAATTAACTACCCACTAACAAATATTTAACCAACTCTGCCAAAACAAAACTTGCTAACACAGACTGCAGTAACCAACAAGTTTTGAAGTAGTTTTAGGAATCGTATGCCACTGAATTTAAAACTGGAAGAGGTGTCTTACAGAAACGTAAGCATAAGCCCCAAGTGGGTGGCTGGCAGGTAAAGATGCCCCGAATTGGCAATTTAAATTGTCCAGATACTTGAATTTTCCCTTGAACAACTGAATTCCAAAACTGGAACTTTCTCCTCTCTCTTCAAATCCTCAGGTTGAGAAGTAAGATCTGACCCGCTGTTTAAAGTTTATAACTTGGGACTTGCTGTAGAACCCAGAGCATGTCAATCTCAAAAGCCAAACCTGAGCTCAGCAGTATAAAAGCGTTGGGCTTTAGGATCAGTGAAGTGTACTCACAGTTACATGGGAAACAAAAACAAACCTCCAACAACCCCACAAGGCTAATTTCTGTAGAAACCTAGTTAATACCCGCTATGGACTGCAGTTGGTGCATCCGTATCACTGAAAGTTACAGCTAGCCTTAAAGTTTCATGCAAATGAAAACCTGTATATATCTTGCAGAAATACTGACTTTATTTTCAAGCAAGGGTACTTGTAGCTTTCTATTGGGTAAGCAGAATTAATAAGCGACAAGCACCACTTACAAGTCTCTGTTGATCATATCTATTAGCAATCCATCCGTCTTCTTTCTGTTGACTAGATGCCACACCAGTCCTCCAAAGTGCCGTGTTGAGCGGAGCAGATCGTATTTGGCTTGTTTCTCGATGTCATCGTATGTTCGATGGTGAACCTACAAGCAGAAAAGGTTTTGATTTTCATTAGCTTGACGACAGAGCTCTACCTCTCACTTCTTTTTAATCTATTTTCAGTTTTTAGTCTATTTTCAGTGCAGGACTAAGCCACAGGCTGAACGATGTTACCTTAACGATTTATACGTGTTAAAATTCAGCATAACACTGGGATAGCTCAGTTCTCAGGGCCAGACATCTTTATGGTAAGAGAAAGCTAAATGTTAGCTCAGTACTGAAAACGTGGGGAGGGAGGGACATAACCTCCAAACCTGCCCTTCGCGGCTGTCAAGTTGTAATCTATACTTTAAAGAGAAAAATGATAAGAGCAAAGAGGTGAAATTTTACTTTGATGAAAAAGTACTTGAAAAACACATGAACAACACCTTTGATCCCCAGATAATACTCAGATTTACAAAACAAAGCCTCAAGTTCTTCACTGATTTTATTATTTTTTTTTAACTAGAAAAACAAAAAGTGAACTCACTCTGATGTAGTCAGAGGAATCTGGCTCAAACTGAGCAATGCACAGGTTAAGGACGTCCTCATGACGGTCTTGCTGAAACACAGTCTAAAACAACAGTTCAGGTTTAGGAATAGATTCTGCATTGCACCGCTCTAACGCTCCAAAATCAAAACAGCAGCCACAACATTTCTGTTCTAAGCATCCCCTTAATCACAAGACAAAATGCCTAACAGTATGTTGATGTCATCAAGGCAAATGTCATCAATGTTTCTTGATTTTTGATAATAAAACACCACATTTTCAGATTAAGTGTACAATTTCATCGATGCACAGCGATTAAATGTGGATTTTAGTACGACAGAATAATTACACCTGCTCAGGATTTTACCTGGCCCTAACGTAGAAATTTATTCTAAGTATTTTAGGCAGCTTCAAACATACAAGGAGACTGGCTTATTCAAAGTTACTCTGTCCAAACAGCACAATTAAGTAAAAACGATCCGTTCTCAAAGCCAGGAAGATCTTACCCTAAGGTTTTCGTCCTTGAACAGCACTGGAGGAATAACTCTGCGCCCTTCTTTCGGGAAGAATATCTGTATCATTCTGTCTCGTTCTTCCCAGGTTGCTTTGCGTAATACACCGTTCGGTTCTCGAACTACAATGAAACGCTCCTGAAAAGGTTTTTTTAAAAAGAAAAAAAAGAGTATTATCTCCCAAAGTTGTCTCTCCCTGTAGCCAGAACCATCATAAAAAAGATTCTTATTTGCCAAAGTCCTTCTGTACCTCAACTCACGCTAGTAGCAACAATCAGATAGAAACTTGCGTTAGGTGCTAATTAGTTAAAGTGCTACCTCCGCACATTAATTTACTGTATGAACTAGCTGTGCATGCACCCACAGTAAAAGCTACAACTCTTTGAAGTCTGGACAGGTCACAGAACTAACACCCTAAGGAAGGAGTTAGCGTTGCTGCTGGCCTGACTTTACGCATTTAAGAACACACTAAGAATGCAAGTGTCTTGTACTTTTTCTGTTTCAGAGGTAGGTGCTAGAATCCCGTAAGGGCACATGCAAAACAAAAAACAGGACAAATACAGCAATATGCTCAGATCTGTTCTCAAGCATATGTGATTGAGGGCAGCAGACAGCAGAGTTTGCTGGGACAAGGAAGTTTTCAATACACTGAGGCAGAAGAAGAAACAGCAGGTTCCCGGAGAAAGCTCTCAGATGGAGCAACAGATGGAAGATGTGGCATTTCATTTCACAGGATCATCACTACAGGCATGTTTGAACCTCGGAGACTTCTTAGAATTGTAACTATTTGTTACGAATTTTTCCAGCCTCTTACTACTGGTACTTAACACAGCTCGATGTTTCATTATACAGAGAAATCTTTAGCCCCGTACTCCATATTTCAATTTGACAACTGTTTCTTCACAGTTTTATCATGAATTCATTTATCATTTGCTCAGGTTCCCACCACATCTCTGCAACTGTGCCGTGGCTCCATCTTTTGGTCTATGCACAGTACTAAGTAATCCATGGAAAGCTTCTAGGAAGTATGGAAGAACTCGGCAGGCCCAGCATATCAAGAGCATCTTCTTTTAAAATAATTAACTATCCCACAGCTTATCCCCCCACGCCGAGCACTGTAATGTACTTTAGCGTTATCATTTGGAAGCAAACATTTAGAAATATATGTCTTTGTGCTGTCTTGTACCAGACTGAATTTGCAACTCCTCAACTTTCCCGCAAACCGCTGTAACTACGTTTTATAAAACCCAAGAAGCTTACTTTGAAATTAAGAACGAGAAGCTCTTAAATTAATACATTCCTACTTACACGATGTGGGACGGAGTAAGTTAAATCTGTAAACACGTATTTTGTAGTTTCGGTTCCTTCAAGAAATTTGTCTTCTGCTAAGACATCATCAATTGGCTCTCGCTCATTCAAAACTGGCGGCATGATGAGTCTTTCTTTAGCTTCCTCGATGGCTTTCCTTGTGGCCTTACCAAAAAAACCCCCCAAAAAAGTAGTTGAATTTTACAATTAAAAAAAAAAATCATCTTATTGGAACACTAATGTATAATTTTGGGACAAGCATTGTTAGAGACAAATCTAAATTCTTCTTTTTCTTGAAGCAAGACACCAATTCAACCTCCAGATAGATGAACTGCATGTGAACAATAGCACACTACTGTAAACCAGGCAAATTGCTGGGGGAAGTCCCAGAACTAAAATCTGAATATGCTGCTGTTGGCACTATGTTTATTTCAGGTTGTTTTCCCCCTTCAGTTTCCCCCAAAGCATAAGCCAGGACCAACAGTTTACACATAGCTGTGCCCACGGTTACAGAATAACTGAAGTCAGGCCCCTTTATCTTACAGCAGGAAAAAAGCAGTCAAAGGCTGTAATTTAAACAGCGGATAAATGCATTTTACACCATCAGGAAGCATAAGGAAAGGGGCTATCAAAGAGAACCTGTCACTCAAGAGAAGAAAAATCCCATTTCCCTGCACATCCCATAAAAATCGAGGAAAAATGGGGCAAACCAAAGAGAAGAAACACTGATTTAGTAAATTACCTGAAAGAAAGGCAAGAAACGGAAATGTTTTCAAACTGGGGCGTTAAAGGGAGCAGAGAGAGGGCTCCCCCCAGGCTTTTTACTCAAAGCAGCTCTGCCCCCCGGTTCAGGGCGGCCTCACCTCCTCCAGCTGCGCCTCCGTCATCAGCTTGTACCTGGGCGGCTTCAGCTCCTGCTTCACCGGCCTAAACACCTTCTGCAGGTTGATCCCGGTCATTTTGTAGAGCAG